AAATTGATTAAGTAGTAAGCATGTTTTTAAATTAGTTTATATTCATAATAATTATAAACTACAAACACCTCCAGATAATCAAAAAAAATTGTCAAAAAAAGTATTAATAATGAAATATTATGCTGGTAATGAAAGTGATGAAAGTGAATATCATGATGGTAATGATAATGAACAATTTAATATATCAGATAATAGTGACGATATATTAGAAACATCGAGTGATAGTGATAATTATTGATAAATGTATATAATAGTTATGGAAAATAAAAATCATCATTAGTTTTTATGAATTCGCGTCGCGTATTTGATTGATTACTATATATGTATATGTATATCATTATGCATATTACATGTATATACTATGCGCACAGTGCTGAACTATGCGTGCGCGCATTTGCCCATCTCTAGGTAGAACCAGCGACTCCTAAAGAAGAGGTCGATCAGGCAACTCGACAAGAGGTCGGTGTAGTGATTGATAAAGAAGAGGATTGATCAGGAAACTCGGCAGGAGTTCGAATTGGCGATCATAATAATACGGATAAGTTGAGGAAAAAGTACTCGAAGCACTCCCGTGATCGTACAGTCTCACAGTTTACTCGGCAGATTCACAACATATATTTATATATAGAAATCACCTTAATTTGTATTAACCTATCGCTATAACGATAAATTTCTGTTTGAGCATTTCCCGATAATGGGAACTATCACATAGGAACATTTCTAGACATTACATATCTGATATTTCCATGATTAATACTGTACCGACTTACGTATATTACCATAATTTTTACGATAATATTTCATCCAGATTTCTCCTTCTGTCTGAAGGGCAATAAAATAAAAAGTATCATTAATTCACATTATATAATGCGCGAATTGGGATCTAGACGAAGGAAATAATCTTTGAAACTAATGGAAAATTGCCGCGCATTTATTTATGCATATGTTTCTTTTGTTGTCAAATATATTTATGCTTGATTTTCTTTATTTTATGTGAGGGCATGACATTTAGGATGGTTAAACTTGATTTTAATGTTAAGTAGCACAGAATTAAGCTTTTCTTTGGTTGCAATATCTAACGAGTGAACACCTCTACCAAAATAATGTTATCTAATAGGAATTTCATATTTACCATCACATGATATTTTAGGCGAGGTAATCACTGTAAATATCTATAACTACTATATACATTCTATTTATGGATGAAGAACTTCAATTCGATATGCATTTAGTGAATATTTTCCCCTTTTTTTACTTGCAATATAACGATATAGCGAGGTTTGAGTGCGGCAATATTCCAGGAAAATAATGATTTTTTCTATAAAGTTCATATGATTTAAAGTTGCTCAATTAGCACGCACAACGCGCACACACACCTTTTATTAAAAACACTCGATTATACGGAAGCAGAAATTAATGTTTGTTATCGCTAGCAAATGATTTATTTTTGTTTGCTCTTAGAAAAAATGCGAAAGTAACGAAAAAATTAAGAATACAAATATGAATTATTAAGTTGGTCATTAAATAAAAAAAAATTGTTATTAAATTTGATAAGTTAAACTAACCAAATTTTCTTCTAAACAAGAATGCATGACGTGAATTTCCAAATCGATATCTGTGACAAATTAAAATGAAATATCTTAATATTATTATATTATATAATATGAAAGAATTACACCAGTAATTTTATATAGCATTCAGGCTATATAAATATCACAATTATTATGATAATTTTGGTCAAACGATCTACATGATCTATATAACTTTGGCCAAAAAACATCATTTTAATCTGCGCTTTAAGAAACTCGACATTGTCTATCATCATGACAACAGTTGCCGTTTAACATTAATTCCTTTTCGTGAACCGTATATAATTGATGAAAATTTTCCATTTCGTTGAAACAATTTGACAATTGAAATTTGCCTATTTCTCTCAGCATTCCGTAATTTTGACAAATATAATAAAAAATTTAATATTGTTGGCAATTTTCATAAAACGACATTTATTGCTGTAACGATAATGTAGTTTTTAAATTAGATCACAAATTTGTAATTGTTTTATTTATAATTATTTTTTAAAATACGAGTTATTAGCATATCAAAAATTTGATGATTTTCTTTTATTTCCATTTGTAATAAACTGTTTGCGCTAACTTTGGTGAATACTATTGAAAATTTATGAGTGGGAACTACATATGATTTGGAGATTTAGATTTTATAAAATCGTTATGGATACTTATTATTAGCTAAAACTTGCTTTATCACTAGTTATTGTAAAAACGATATATAAATAAATAGATTATAAGTAGCCCCACTCAACAGTAATAAAACCTCGCTCGAGTTCTGTCAACTGACTGAACATTGCTGGCGACAAATCAATGTCGCCAAGTTTGCAAACGGGGCATCTATCCGCCACAACACCATCTACAAATTTATCACCATAATAAATTCGTACGCGCTTTCCACAAAGTGTATTTTTATTAGGATTCCCATTTTGGATCATAGGATCGAAATTAGGAGCGGAAATCGCGACGACCATTGAATTATCGTTAGCATCCACACCACATGCTCCAAGCCCTGGATTGTAGTAAGTGGCTTTGCCGGAATATTTTGAAAAAGAAGTTGATGTCGACGGTGTAGGTATAAGGTTTGATAACGGCTGGGTTTGATCTGCAAGTGATGGGTATGAATAACGAACTGAGTTATCTAGATTTTGATTGCTCGATGAGATTTGGTAATACGGTAAATTTGGGGGTAGCAAACAATCTTCTTGACTGCATCTATAGGTCGCTACTGCTGTTATTTGTGATGTCAATAATGTGTAAAAAAGGATAACAAGAGTAATTTGTTTGTATAAACGTGAATTTTCGAATGATGATTTCATGAAAATAAAAATGTACGAATCCTAATAAAGTTTTTTGTGAAAATTAAAGGATTTTTTCTAGTCTGCTAAATCAACTCGAAACTAAACCTAGACGCTCAGCGTTCGAATTTTTCTCGAGGATATGCAAAAATGAGTGAATTTAGTGAATTATAGGATTTTGATAGAGATTATACAAGTTTTTTCTTCAAATTTACTCCTTTTTTATAAGAATCGCTGAATTGAAGAGTAGCTCTTAAAAATTAATATATGCTTAAAATAAAATTAATTTATAACAATGTTGTTCCGGCTTATTGCTATGATTTTATTAATTATATTTTAAATATTTTAATGTACATTATTGTTATCGATTTTCCTTAATACGTATGTAACGCACGCTATATCTCCTGCTTTTAAAGAACACATAATTTTTCAAAAGTATCATTGTCCGTATTAACCTCCATAACAATACGAGGTGCACATTAGTAAGAGTAATTTTATTCGTATCTTTCAAAAAGGATTTTAATAATCACTGATTAATTTGAGAAAATTCATGGTTTGTTATAATAGGTTAGCTTTGAGTATTGATTATAAATCTTTATTTTAATCTACACTTATGATAATTTTGGTCATTATTTTAATGAAAGAATATGTCAAAAAGATCAATAGTTTCGTACAATATAAAACGACAGAATGTATTGCCCTCTCTTAAACTTTGTTTGAAATGTTCGTATAATTTATGTTCACATGTGAATGTGGTCAGCATATAACTCGATGAAAACAAAGCTTCTATTTTTAATCCAAAGAGAAACATTAATCGAATCAATCATGATGTAAAATAAATTTAAAGTTTCAAAGCTATCGTAAGAAATCTAATTTGATGCGACATATGTGTGAAAAAGCTAAAAATGCCTATTTTTATTGATTATATACTGCATAATCAAGGAGCCACGAAAAAAAGGAGCACCTAAAATCGATGAAAAAAAAATATTTAAATGTTTGCTAATTCTGAAAATTGACTTTCTTCAGTTTCTTGCCCATCATTCCGGTACATTGAAACCAACTTTTCATTCTTTCTTTATTGAACCTTTTTTAATCCCAAATTATTTCGCTGGTCGTAATAATTTTTTGAACTATTACAAAATCTATAAATTTAAAATCTTTTATTAAAAATTTTATAAAACCAACTACTTACGTACGACACATTCTAAAATTTGCCAAAAATCTAAAATGAAACTTATCATTATCACATTCTTCATTCACCAGACTTTTCTCTTATCCTCCATGATAGTTGCTCTTCCATATTCGTTAGAAAAACGCCAACTCCACACCGGTCAAGGAACATACTTTAATCCTAGTTTAGGCGCATGCGGCCAATACGACAACGACAATTCTTTGGTCGTAGCTCTCGCCGCACCAGATTTCGATCCGCAATCTCCAAACGGAAATCCTAATCATAATTCTCTATGCAATAGAGGAATTCGAATTTACTATAATAATCGATCGGTTGAAGGGATAATTCGGGATAGATGTCCGGAATGTAATGCGGGAGATGTTGATATGTCGCCCGCTATGTTTGATAACTTAGCTAATCGAAACTTAGGGAGGATTATGATAAATTGGTTATTGATTTAAATACTTATCATTGCATATTAATATCGATATTTACGTACTTAACGTTAGAATTTGAGCTGGCCCCATTTTAAAGATAACATGTACATAGTGATTCTGATTATAGCGATGATATAATATACTATATTTGAACAACAGTTTTTCGTAGCTTTTAACATTCATTAGCAAACTTAAAAAAACGCAAATGCAAATGTCTGAAAACTTGCTATCCACATATTTTGAAATTAGAAGGAAATCCCAAAGACAATCATGATTGGTTAAAACATTATGTGATTAGCTTATAGTGTTACGCTACTTTCTAAAAATGTTTGATCCCAAGAAAGTAAAGGCGCAGCACAATTGTAGGGGGACAATACTACATGATTTACAAAGAGGGTTTCCCTGATTGTTCAAATGTCTTCTGTGACAGTTTTTACGACCACGATCTGAAGGAGGTAAGGTGTTTCAATTATGGTGTTCGAAGATTCCGTGCTTCACGTGATTCAAACGAAGTTTCTGCTTATTACCAACACGAAACAAAAGAAGGGTTGGACTACAAACTAATCAACACGAAGAATTAGACACAAAGCAAGTTCTATGAGTCACTAAGCAAATCAACCAGGGTACAGAGCGAATTCAACAGCTTGATTTATTCAATGCCAATCAACAAGAAATATGATTTATTTAGAGTGAGGTTCTTCATTATCGATTTATGTTAGGCACAAAAGAAATAAAAGTCTTGTACGCATGCTTTGAAGATAATTAATAATGTAGTAACAAGTAAAAGGATTATTACGAGTAATTAGTTATTATTATTATTTTTTTTATTGATTAGAGCATATCTATATTATTTATGCCTCATAAACAATAAGCAAAAATGTGAGAAATTAGTTGAACACCGAAAAATGCAATAAACAAAAATTGATACGGGGACATAATTAAAATCACGAAACGGTGCTAGACATTGGTCCAAAAATTACACAATTATTAATTACGGAGGAAATTATGAACTCACCAATCACCATGTTACTACAATAACGATATTTGATGTCAGGTGTTTAATTGTTGTTCGTAAATTGTTACAGTTGTTGTTCAATTTTTTCAATAATGATGGTTGCAAAGTAACTACTTGGTGTTAGATATCAACAATGATAAGAGATATTTCGAGGCGTGGTCGTGAAAGTGACTATTATTAAATTCTGATTGTTAAGACATTCTCAAAGTGTCAATAACAATGATCATTATGCGTTGCTCGTTTTTAGAATCAATGATCGTGGAACGTCAATATGCTGGCTGTGAAGAAATTAAGGAATTACGGGATTTGTTGTTGTTTGGTAATAATGGTTCTTTCCGATCGTGCACTAATGAATACAAGTATTATGTTAAAGGTGAAAATATTTATAATACATGTATCGGTATGAAGAAATAAATTTTGTGGAATGAATATCATAACTCATTAACTACATGAATTTTAGGAATTCTTAGTTGCTGATTGGTCGTCAATTTCGATTTTGACAAAACCGATTCCAATATAAAACTATTTTCGAATACAATACTGTATATTAAAATCTGATGCCAAAAATTTTAAATCAACGATTATTCTTTATGTTTTCCTCCTTACCCAAATGCCAGTCACGTCGTGCTAAACGTGATTATGAAACAAACGAGGAAGAAAAAATTTTTTTCTTATGACAAAAGAAATTAATGCATGTTCAAATGGAGAAATAGATAGTGATGAAGATATTACACGCCTCCTTCCTTTACAATATGTTCTTTGAGCATAGTTCATAAATATTCAATTTCAAAAGATTTTTGTTAGATGCGTTTGTCTATTCATTATTCGCTTCAAAGTATCAATGTTGCAGATTTTCAAATTTTTCTATTATATATCAACAAAATATTAGTTGTGTGATCTTTACAACTCCTTCGCTACCTTATTTTGATATTTGGTCATCGTTCGATGTTTATCTTTGTTTCTTATTTTCGTTAGGTTGCTGACTGTATAGTTATTTTAGATTCAGAATATCGAAGTCGAAATTCAACCCTCTCGAATGGAATTTCAAGAAACGAATAATGAATCTTTATTCAATGTCCGAATTCATTTTAAAATTCGATTCTTTCGATTCTATTTCCTATTGCAGCGTTTTAATTTAATTGCTCTTTTTTAGTTATTTGTGCATAAGAATTTACAAGTTTAATAAGTCTATTAAATGGAGAATCGCTCAAGCATCTAAATTGTCAATACATGAACGATGAATTATTAAAAATTACTTACCATTTCTTATCATGCTATTTCCAAATCAATCTGCTCATCGTATTCCAATTACATATACTGTACATGTGTATGTATTGCCTGAATCGTTCTACAAAAAACTGATATGTCATGAATAATGGCTAAATGTTTTTATTCGATATCGATATTAATTGTCCAAAATTTAAAAATGAATTATACAATCCTAATTAATTTCGAGTTGCTACATTTACATGTATATACCCGCAAATCCGTTATAACAACTTTCTTCTGATGTCTAGCTGTTACTGTGATATTAACAAATTAAAAATAATTCTTTTCAATCAATGTTAGATATCACTCAAATTCATAAATTTTGCATGGCAAAAAATCTGCTTAAGATTAATCTGAAAAATTAAAGTCATCTTCAGTATCTAGAATAATGAACTTTATTAACATACGCCTTTACAGTAAGCAATCCTAGAATATGAAACATTCGAAATTGTTTGATTAACAAAAATATGGGGCGGGACTAAAAGTTTGATACCTCGAAAATACCAACCCCCAAAATTTTTTTGTATCGCCAAAAATTATGTTGTAACGTGATACCAAATTTTACAGACTTTTTATCCAATGGATTGCCTTCCTCCTATCTCGCTGGTGTGTCAGCACTGCACGCACACAAGTCCCTTGACGGACAACGAACGGAGCATGATCACGAGTACTTTTTAGTCCTCAGGAATGCACCGAGCAAAAACAACACCTCACACTACGCAAGCGTGTTGCTATGGCACTTGGCATTGGTGAGGCAACGGTTGGTCGGTGTTATGTGACTGGAATCGCAGAAATGGCGGCAAGTTTACACCCCATAAAACCATGGGTCGGCCAACTATAGAACCGAGCTGAAGTAATACGAAACCTGATCAGGACTGCCAACCTTACTGGTACACCACTTGCAACACCAATACTGTGTCAGAAGCTTGGTGAACATGGCTGTTGCGCATATTGCGCTTGCTGGGTTACTATTATGGCTGTGGTGAACGTCGCAACATACCTCATGAAACATCAGCAAAAGTTGCCTTTCGTGGTCTCTATCTATACAAACGGTTAGAGAATTTGCAAGGCAAAAATCATATTCCAACCAGGCCGGAAGTTTTTCTCGATGAGTCTTATTGTCACCTTCATCATAATCGTAATAATACTTGGCTTCCCCACAAGGAATTGTTTTCATACAAGGGTATGGACCTCTTGTTGTTATTTTTTGTGCAATCATAGTTTTGCGGTATGGAAATACCAACAGACTCATAGGTGAGATCGTTCCTAATTCCCTTTTAATATGGGATCCATCAATCAAACCACCATCTGGTAGAGGAAGACGATGTGCGAATGCCGATGCTTGGAGTGAGCTTCCTGATACAATTCAGAATGCTAATATCGTAGCAGATAACGTTGACTATCATGGCTGAGATATTTAAGATCTCTTTGAAAGACTTTGTCAAACTGTAATGGAACAGTATGGTGCAGCATATATTCATATGGATGGTGCTCGTTATCACAAATGTTGCGTAGAGCAAGTACAAACATCAAGCGCAAGAAAGTCTGTCCTTGCTGACTGGTTAATAGAAAAAAATATTTCTATCTCTGAACAGGCAAATAAAGCTGAACTTTACGAGCTGGTTAAACACAAGTTCCTTTTGCATGTGTTAAGATAGCTAAAAAGTATGGCATACTCTGTTGTATACACCTCCATATCATTGTGAACCCCAGCCTATTGAAGGAGTATGGGCAGTGGCGAAATATGAAGTTGCCAAATCAGCTCCACATCCAGACCTTCTTTCAATTAGAAACAAATTGTTATTTTCTTTCAAAGAAAAAGCAACTTTTAAAACAATCCTTAGATTGTGGTGATGGTCACTTAATGTAGCAAAAGAGTATAGAGATACGGATAATGATATTGAATTTGACGAGACTGATTCTGATGATGAATCACAAAATTTTGATGAAAATGAGGATTTTTAATAATAAACTTAAAATAAAATTATATCATAAAGTATCCGAAGAATACAAAAATAAAATAATATTTTTATTTATTTATTTGATAAAGTTTTTCTAAGAACATCTAAGATATCAAACTTTTGGCTTCGTCCCATAAGATATTATTCATTTTCAGATATAAGTTAATGTAAATGTTGTTTTCTTCTTTGATTTATTTTTTTCTGCTTTCTTATAAGTATATTATCCTTTTGCACCTAAATATGCTTACAAGTTCAGAATGGAGCATTCTAAGATATGATTATGCTATATTGAGCTAAAAAAGCTTTATTACATGGCAAACTTACCGGATACTTTCTTAAACTACAGTCACAATGATATTAATAAAAAGCTTGTAATCGATAATTATCTTTACCTAAGATCCGAAAGTTCATCATTTATTCATGATGTATGATATCGATTTTACCAAATCTTATTATAAATTGAAAAAAAGTACTTTTAATGCATTAAATACATTTAAAATGATATGTTTGATGATAAAACTTGCAAAACAAGTTGCATTAGTCACTGAAAGCTGCAATAATGTAATTTTAAAGAGTAACATAGCATGTTGTTGCAAATAATATAAAAAAAATCAAGTCATGCAACAAGTACTTTTAGAAGTGGAAAAATTTATGCAATATCATATCATGAAACTACAAAACTAAAACTTGAACATAAATTAAATTATAGGAATGATTTATTTGATAAAAATGCAAAAAAATTAATTCTAAATTTTTATATAATGAAAAATTATAAATTTTTAATCACTTCAACTTTATAATTATTTATATAGAAGGTAATTAATTAATTGGTTTAGATTTAGAACCGTAAAGTTTGATTTATATGTAGAATAAATGAAAACTAGATCTATTAAGAATAAATTTTTTCAAAATTAAAAGATTCGACCAACTCCCCTGCTCGATCATGGCCATTTTCATGCGCTTTTTGGTACCATTTTAATGCCATGTCGAGATCTTTTTGAATTCCGAATCCATATTGATAACATTCAGCCACTTTGAATTGAGAGAACCTCAATAGATTCAGCGGATCTCAAATACCATTCAAACGCTTTCTTCTCGTTCCTATTTGTTCCATTTCCTTGAAAGTAGCATTCTGCAAGAAAATGCTGAGCATCTCTAATATTACGATTATCTGATTCTGCTGATTTCTGGAAAATTGAAAATGCTTTCTGCAAATTTCTCTTAGTTCCTTCACTGTAATAATAACATACACCAAGTTTGAACATACTATTGTTTTCATCCCGTGATAATTCCAAGAACAATTTAAAAGCGGCATTTTCATCTCGTTGTGTTCCTATACC